TAGCAGGGGCCTGAGAAGGCCTATAAGAAGGGAGAAAAGAAGAAAAATATGAATGAATGATTTTGGCAGGATCAACAGTTGTGTGAAGATAGGAATAGCACGAAAGAAAGTGGATTCTAATGAACACAGAGGCAACCACATGACACAGAGCCAACAGGGGAAGGGGATGGCCCCGAAGTGGAGGTTCTGAGGGGAGCAGTGGAGTTTCACACCCAGACATGGAGGAATGGTGAGCACAAGAAGTTTGGAAAGAAAGGAGAGAGGGAGGCAGAAGAAGGAAGCCCTTAGTCTGAGCCAGGCACTGTGCTAGGCATCTTACCACCAGCGCTCCCTAAGGTCTGCACAACACGCTGGCACTCAGTGTCCTGCAGATGAAGGGACTGAGACTCAGGAAGAAGTCCCTGATCCAAGTTCACATGGCTGGACAGTCTGTTGTGCCAGGATTTACAGGCCTTGCTTGGCTGGTTCTGAAACCAGCTGCCATCCCAGGACACCCAGCTCTGTGGCAAGCATCGACACACTTACAGTGGCCTTACTGTCCCCACCTCTTTAGGCCTCAGATCCTTCATCTGGAAAATGAAGAGGTTGGGCTAGGTGATCTCCAAGCTGCCTCTCAGCTCCAGCCTCCCTAGGGCCTTGGGCAGCTCTAAATCAGAATGGGCTTCCTGGAGGGGCTGGGGGGCTGAACTTCCTCCCACTGACAACAGACACGCAGCTCCATCTGTGTTGCCAAGACAATCCAGGGCAAGGAGGGAGAGGCCCACGGCAGAGATGACTCCATGCCCCAAAAATGAGTATCACAGCAGCCCACAGGATTGTGCAAGCTGCCCGTGAGGCTGCCAGTCGGCCTGGCCCGGAGGAGGGCTGTTTATACTTCCCAAGTGTGTTTGCAGTTAACTCCATCCGCCTGGCCCGTGTGCACAGCCCTCAGGGCTGCCAGCAGTGTCTATGCGGAGACAACAGGAACGGATCTCACACCAGACCCTTTATCTCAGACACCAGACACCCATTTGTTCATTCATTCATTCATTCATTCATTCATTCACATACTTGTTCATTTCCTCATTCATTCCCATAGTGTTTGCCAGGCATTGTGCAACGCACTGGGGACTCAGAGGTAAACAAGATAATGCTCTGAGAAGTCTCCAAGACCCAAAAACCTCGAAGCACAGTGAGGCACTAAATATAGAGAATGAATCTCCCGGCCAGGTTGTTGGACTGAGTTACGTGCTTGGAGTTCAGGGAACACAGGGCAGGAGACTTCAGTATCTTCCTACGGAAAATACTTCACTACTAGTTGAAAAATCAAAGAAGACAATAACTCTACACTCAATTGTCTTTGGAAATATGTTTTCTCATGAATGTGGATATGTGAAAATGTCACTTTCAAAGTTTTAAAATCCCACACTTGAAGCCTGGCCAGAAGAAAACAACCTTAGTTCCTTTCAGGACTCCCTGGTTCTGAGGTCAAGCACAGGGTCTGGGGTTTGCACAATCTGCTAGGCACCAGGGAAAGTTCCTCGGAGGTCCCGGTTCTCCCAGCTAGCACCCTCCTTGACTCCCCATGACTGGGGCCAGGTTGAGGGCTCAGAATGCTGGAGCGTGGCTGTGTTTTGACTCCAGCTTCCCTGGACAGGCAGCAACTTTTGGAAAACCATGCCACATCACAAGGCACTGCTATGGAAAGGGCTTAGGTCAGGCCTCCGGGACTTGGGATCTCTTCCTAGATACTAGAAACCTTCTTTTCCCCTTTTCCTTCCCACTCACCCTTTTTTTTTTTTTTTTTTTTTTTTTTTGGTGTTTTCTTTCTTGGCCTTCTTCTTTCACAAAGGACAGGAAAGGATGTTGCCTGCAAGTAGATTCAGGCAAATATCTGCAAATGCCCCTGAGACTAGGAAACAGAAAGAAGTCTGGCTACGTATACGGGACATTGAAAGGAAAAATACAAAGGGAAAACCCCATAAATTCATATTTCAACAAATTATCTGCCTTGCACAGAAATAACTATCTAATTTTATTTGTCATTTCTTTAGGATATATTTCCAGGAGTAAAACCAAGACATCAGCACATTTTGAAGAATGCTTTTCAAGTTGCTTTTCTAAAGGTTTATACCAATTTACCCTCCCGCCAGCAGTGTGCAAATGCTGTCTAGTTCACCGCACTATCACCGGCATCAAATGTGAGGATATTTTACTTTTTCTGTCTTTGAGCATTTTGTAAACTGAAGAAATTTATTTTCAAACTATTTGCATTCATGTCACTCACTGATTTTACAAGTACTTTATTTCCAACAATCCCTTTAAATACAAAATATCCTGTTACAGTGTGAGTAGATAGACCCTCGGGATGCCTCAGATTTTACTAGGTCACTAATAACATGTCCTTCCAGGTGTCTTTTCTCACCCAAGGCACCTTTCCCACTTTGACTGGGCAATTCTAATTGGTGCTTCCGTGTCTCCCCACTTTCAGAAATCCTCAGTGCAGTCCCTAGCAAGGAGGCTGCCCGATGGCCTGATTCATTCCTGGATTATTAAATCCACCACCTCATGCTGTGGGAGGCGGGGGCAGGCTTGTGTGCCTTGGGCCTCACTGAACCTCAAGGAGCCTCAGTTTCCCCCACAGCAGTTAGAATGGTGCCTGTCGCTTGGGGTTGGGTGGGCGTGAGGCAAGATAAAATCTGGAAAGTGTTCAATAAGCGCCCAGCACTTGGCACACACTCAGTGAACTTTAGCTAGTATATTGTTATTATTACTATTATTATTCTCCTCCTCTCTCTGGAAGGCAAGGAAATTACTTTTATCTCTGGATCTCTGGTTGTTGGCCCAGAATATCTAAATAGATCAATCAAACTGCATATTGAGTAAGCATTTCTCTGCCCTTGGCACCAGCTTTCCATATGTAAGACTGGGCTGTGAGTACTACAGTACTATCTTCTCTGGCAGGTGGCTGCTTGGATGACTCCACTCCAGTTCCCACACCTCCCACCCATGCTTGCCTGGCCCTGCCATTGACACTGGAGAAGAACATCCAGGTATTTGCATTCCCAGCATCCTTTGCTGCCAGGGGTGGCCATGTGACCCACTTTTGGCCAATGAGACACCAACAAGGGGCTCCTGGGAGACCCTCTACTTTCCCATGGAGCCGAGGCTGCCATCTTGTCACCACAAGGCAACGAGGAGGCCCACATGCTAAGGACGATGAACAGAAAGCTGGAAAGAGCCCAGTACTTGGCATCACCAGCAGCTGACCAAGACCAGCAACCACTCATTTTCAGAATTATGATGTTAGGAAAATAAACCTAATTTTGTTTAAGCCACAGTGAGTTGAGATTCCTGTTAAGTGAAGCCAAACATTTCTATCTGATACCCATGAACTTGCTTTAAGGTGCTCATCAAATATTACGCTCCCTACTTACCTTTTCTTCTTTCTCTTTAAAAGCCCCTTTGCTGGTCCTTTGGGAAAGCCAAGGGGCCCAGGAACTCACCACGTGTTTGAATCAGGGGTCTGATGCTGAAGAAGTCAGCAGGAGCATAACTTACCCTAAGAATTTCTCACCTTCTCTACCCCAAATAGGGGCTGGGGATCAAGGACATCCAGAGTGCTAACATGAGAGGAGCATGCCCAGGAGAACCAAGGAACAGACCAGAAGATACAGCCCAGGAGACCCCAGGGTCACAGGCTCAGGCCCTTGGGCCAGCTGGGTGCTCAGGGCTACACCCTTTGTGAGGCCCCCACCCCGGCTCCCTGCAGCCCAAGGGAAAGGGCCATCTGCTAGTGACCAAGTGGGCATGATGGGTCTCCTGTGTCTTTGACTCCACCAGACTCGCACAGCTTCGTTCAGGGAATAAAGAACCTGCAATCTACCCTTTGTTTCTTTCTTTCTTTCTTTTTTCTGAGACAGAGTCTCACTCTGTTGCCCAAGCGGGAGTGCAATGGCACCATCCCAGCTGACTGCAACCTCCGCCTCCTGGGTTTAAGCAATTCTCCTGCCTCAGCCTCCCAAGTAGCTGGGATTACAGGCATGGGCCACCATGCCCAGCTAATGTTTTGTGTTTTTAGTAGAGATGGAGTTTCACCGTGTTGGCCAGGATGGTCTCGATCTCCTGACCTCAGGCGATCCACCCGCCTCGGCCTCCCAAAGTACTGGGAGAACTTGCTCTTTCTAAAGCCCTAAAAGCTAATGTTTGAGTGTCTGCTATACATCAGGTTCTTTTCATCTTCATGAAAGTCATTTGATACAAGATTTCACATCCTCATTCATAAATGAGAAAACTGAAGGATCGAGAGGTCAAATGGTTGGCCCAAGGTCACACTGCTTGGAAGCGGGGGAGTTCTGTTTCCCTCCCAGAGATAACCACCCCACAATAATATGTTGCTTCAGAGGCTATTTTATTCAGTCTCCCAGACAGGCACTGTTCATTGCCATCTGAGAGCCTTTGTCCCAGCTCTGCCTGTCCCTCCAGCCTGGAATACCCTCTGTCCTCCACTGGCATTTTGTTCCAGCTTCAAGACTCAGCCTCACTCTCTCCCTAATCATAAATAGCCACCACTTATGGAAAGCACACCACAATATTTTACAACAGTCCTACCCGACAGGTCCCTGTGTCCCTGCTTTCCAGATGAGGAAAATGAGGCTCAGAAAGGAGCGTTTGCTGGCCTCTGTCACACAGCTAGTAAGGGGGGCGACCAGAAGGCAAAGCCAGCTCTGCCGGGGCAATGTCCTCAGAAGAACTGAGAGAGGGAGGGGTTGCTTCCAGGTCAAGGTCAGGCCTCCAAAACAAATGCTTGGTCTGGGCCCTTCTCTCCTCCCCCACACTTGGCCCTGCAAATTGGCTTTGACCTTTCATGCCCCTGCCTTTGAGCTTCTCCCCATTCAATTGAAATCACAAAGGAAGAAAAGAGGGCTGGCAAGAGGGAAAGGCCCCTCCTGGCCCAGGCCCAGGTCCCCAGCCACGCCCCCACAGGCGCATCAAGCCCTCCAGGGTCTGTTTGCACAGTTGGGGTGCTGCACTAGGAACCCCACCTCCGGGAGAAAGGCACCACGAGGTCATCTGTTTACTCTGGGATTAGCGGCTCCCCGCGGGAGTTCTTTTCCTACGAGATGAAAAGAAAGCGGACAATCTGTCAGGTAAACAGGCCGCATTGTTCCCAGCCGTGTCGGGGGCCCCTTTGTGGGCCGGGCCTTTGAGATCGGTTGCTCCCTTGCACAGGGAGAGAGCTTACTTAAAGGGAATGGAACGGAATGGGAGGCCCCAGCTGGTGGGCAGGTCGCCTGCTGCTGATACAGGGAGGGACAGAGGGCTTGGACAATTCCGGCTTTTCCTTAGCTGCTCTCCTTGCAAGCCCCTTCCTCCCCATGGGTCTCTTGATGAGTCCAACAAGACGGGCACGGAGCCCGATCTCACAGATGGGGAAGCTGAGGCCAGCGGCAGCTTCCCCCCGCCGCACAGAAGAGAGCTCCTGGCATTCCAGCAGGGGGTGGCTGGAAGAAAACCAGGGACCTGGTCTAACCACCTCACTCTTCAGATGGGGAATAGCTGGAGACACAGGAATTGGCAGAGCACGATTTCTGCACTGGAGGCTTCCCCATGTATCCCTGCTGGGTAGCGGGGAACACTTGGGAGCCACGACCATCCCCACCAGTGGGCTGTCAGTTTTATGGATTCCCAGAATATTTAACAGCTGAGTGGATGGGACTGGTCAAGGCCGGCCTGTTTCCTCCCACAGCTACCCATAAGGTATCTTCCTGGGAAGCAGGGAAGACAGTGCAAGCCCCGCCCCGCAAGTGCATGAGTGCCTGGGAGTCAGGACTCCTGTATTTGGGTGGCCCTGACTCCAGTTTGCTCTGTGACCCCAGACAAGCCACTCACCCTCTCTGGACCATCCATCAAACAAGAGATAAGATACTCTCCAGGGGCTAACCCTTCCCCTTTGGACCGTGAGAAAATCTAGGGAGGGCACAGGCATCCATCCATGAGGACAGGATGGAGGAGGGACTACCTAAACCCCTGTCCACCTCTGATTTCCGAGAGGCCTGTGAGGCAGTAGGGGCAGCGCCTGGCCCAGCCACCATCCTCTGGGCAGGGTGCTGTCATGGGAACAGAGCACTGTGGTGAGGTGGTGAGAACGTGTGCCCCGGGTCACCCTGACCAGTCCAATTGCAGCCTCTCACTCACCAGAGGCCCAACCTTGGGCAAGTGACTCAGCCTCTTGGTCTGTGAAATGGCCCCCATGAGGTCTCCTCAGCCTGGGGGGCTCCACGGCGGAAGGGTTCCAGGAAGGCGGGAGCTGGGGCTGTTCTTGCCCCTGCCAGGAGGTCCTGTCCACCCTCTAGCTTCCCTCTCCCTGCCCCCCCGCCACTGCCCATTCCCAGTAAGGCACCTATTCTCTTTGCCACCCTGACGCCAAGTCACTGTTCAGCTTGTTGGCGACAGAGCCGGAAGCGTGGAAAAATCTCACGCTGCTCCCAAAGTCCAGGGAGAGCTCAAAGCAGGCTGCGTGGAAAAAGGCCCAGAGCTGTGGCCAGACAGAGTAGTAGGCCCCGACCAACCACAGAGCCACCTTGACAGGAGCCAGGGCACTGTCCTGAGACGAGCCTCATCCCTGGAGGGCAGCAATGGACCATCCACGTGTCTAAGCCCCCATCACCAGCCGGGGCCCCAGTGACTCAGAGCCTGCTCTTCCTGAACTCGGCAGGAAGAAAACTGAAGGCCCGAAAGCCCCAGCCACACTATGACCTGGAGGGACACAAGGTGACAGCACCAAGCTCAGCCTTTCCTCTGAGGCTTCGCAGGACTGAATGAAGGCAAACTTCCCAACACTCCAAGCCACGGGACTGTCCTTCCTGGGGCCCTGACTGAGCTGTGATGGGCTGTGTGACCCTGGGTGAGTTACTTGCCTTCCCTGAGGCTCATCTCACCATACATAATAGAAAATGGAGACAGAAGGATGCCCATTGCACAGGTTTTGGGAAAGATTAAATCACATGTTTATAAAAGAGCCTGGCAAACATCAGTGGCTCCATGAATATTTGCGGTGTTTGAGTCCCCCACACTGCTTTCATGTCCCCTTTTCCTGCTCTTTCCCTTTTCCCATTAAGCTTCCCAAGCCTCCAACTGAAGCTGCAGTGTTGTTGGGGGCCAACATCATGGGAATCACAATGACCATAGTAACTATTTATTGCAAACATACTATGAGCCAGGCCATGTGCTAATAAGTGTTTTATCTCCATTATACAGAGAAGGCAACTGAGGCACAGAGCACTTAGATGCCCCTGGCTAGGAAGGGATAGAGTCAGGATTTGAATGAACCCAGTATAGATGCCCTTAGCCATGCTCTCTAGGGCGGTAATCAACTCTGATTTACAGAGCAAAACTGTGTGCCAGATGCATCACCTCCTGAATTCTACAAGCTGGGCGCTGTGGTCCCTGCCACAGAGGGGAAACACTTCAGCCCAGAAAGACCCAGTGTCCACCACTGAGTGTGCGTGGATGCACGGGAGGTCTGGGTGGTGGCCGACCTAGGCAGCTGGCAGGGAAGGGACTCGGTCCTGCATGCTCTGGGATTCCCTCCCTGCTCGCTACTGCCACCACAGGCACGTCGCTCCCGGGGGAGCTGTCAGGGCCCTGCCAATGGCAGGACCAGGCTGGCCGCTCCCCGTGAGCCGGGGAAGGCCTCACCGACGATGCACCCTGACACTTCCTTTCTCCAGGCGCCCACACAAGCTGCCTCCCAGGGGGTTTCCTGCAGTAAGGACGGACAGGGGGCTCCAAGGGGCACCCTGGTTGGAAAGAGGGGTGAGGAGTCCTTCCAGGCAGGGGACTGGGGCATGAGCAGACACAGATGGGAGGCCTGGACGTCCCCAAGCAAATGACCCATTACCCCAAATGCCCATAGACCCTTCTCCCGCTCCTGGCTTCTGACAACTGGCTCCTGGAAACAAGGCCAAGGCTGCCCCCTGAGGACTGCCATTTTGGGGAATCCCGGCATCCAGGGGACACCTAAAGATGCAGGCACCAAAGGAGAAGGAGTTTCCAGCTGCAGCTGAAACATACCTGGTCCAGAGATTTGTGGGAAACACCACCCCCACCCCACCCCACAGCCACACACGCCACTCCTCAGCCTCCTTTTCTTCTCGTGAAGGCTACCTCAGCAATTCAATTTTCATCAGATTCAACTGGATTCATGTGCCCCAAAGGCCGTCCACACCACAGGTCCTTCCCAGCTGCACTGCCTCCTGGGCACTCGCCTCCTTGCCAGGCAGCTGGTTCTCCCTGCCCACCGTTTATCATTCTAGAAAGAGCTTCAGTTAAGCAGACACTTGCCGGTCTTCCTGCAGCTTCTACTGTCAGCCATAGAGCAGGGGTGTGGGGGGCACGGGGCGGCTCCAGTCAGACGGCCTGGGGTCTGCACCCCAGCCGGGGGCATCGAGTTTCCGGGGGTTCAGTTCCTTTGTCTGTAAGGTGGGGAGTTTGACAGTCACCCCAGAGGGTTGCTGAGGGGTTCAAATGAGATGATACGAGGAAAACTTTCAGCCCAGCACCCAGCACCACAGTAAGTAACTTTTTATTATTATTGCTGTTGTTATTTGTTCGTTAGCATCTGCAATGCCTTAAAAATAGCTGAGGGCTCCAATCATACGCCCTCACCTCTGTGACAGTTTAGCTTCTTTAGGATGAACATACACAGCCCCTTCCTTCAAATACCCACTCTGTGTCCAGGACTCAGACTCTCACCTCTCTGGCCAGCCTTCACTCAAGTCCCCAAAAGGAAAAATCTGGAGGAGAAGGAGCAGGCCTCTTTTGATTTTTAGGACAAACCTACAGCAGTGAGAGAAGCTTGACCACAGCAAAGAGCAGAATGAGAACCAATCATCATCCAGCGTGGAGAGGCAGAGCTCAGCTCAGAATAATAAACCTTTGTCCTTTCTGAGGATTAAAGCTGCCCAAGGGTAGAAAGCGCTGCCTCGGGAGGTAATGAGCTCCCTGTCTCTGGAGGCATTCAAGGTGAATGATCACCCACCAGGGGTGTTACAGAAAGGATTTTCACACTGAGTGGAAAGTTGAACTAAATGACATCAAAGATGTAAGCTCATCACAAAGAAGAAACAAGTTTACTCCTTCCCTCATTCAACACATATTCATTGTTGCATTCCTAGCTACACCTATGTCTATGCCATTTACTCTCCTGAGCACACAGTTCACACTAAAACAAGAATCTGGATTTTGGAAGCATTTAACGAAAACAGGGCTACTTTGAAGTTGCTCTTGACCTTCACTGTTACATCTGTAAAATGGGTGGGGCAATAACAGTGCCTGCTTCACAGGACCGGCAGACAGACACCAGAGTGACTTGTCACACTGTGGGCCTCAGTGAAAGTTGGTTTGTCATTATCATTAGTACCATTAACATGAGGACTGTAACTGAAATCCTGGAAATATTTCTTTTTCTCTCTCTTTTTTATTTATTTATTTTTTCTGAAGACCCAAACAACTCGGTATGTACTAAATCAAGTCCCAAGAATCCCACCTAGCTAAAGCCTTCACCCAGAGCGGCGGGGACCAGCTTGGTCTGGAAACCAACGACACACCAGTTCTCGGCCCACATCCAAAGCCAGCCAGGCACCAGAGACAGGAGGTCTGCTGAACCTACATTATCTCCTCCCATTGTTTCTCAGAAATGGTATCCAAGGGCCAGTAGAGCCATTTTTCCCTGAAGCAGCTTAATCGCATTGTAGAGGAAAGGGTGGTTCTAACTGTAAACCCACCTTGGCTTTTCAAATGAGGGGAAAATAGAAACCCATAAGCCCCTCAGAAAATCTGATGTCAGCCGGCTTCTTGCTTCTCTGTTTCAAGTTGCTGGGTACGCATCTGCTGCCCAAATGGGCCAGAATGAGGGTTACCACCAAGAGGGCTTAGGTCAGATCGGGGCCTGTGCCTGCTGTGCCTCGGGGTCTGATAATGGTCTCTAGACGGACACTCACACCCTCGCTGAGGCTTGGGGTCTCTAAGGGAAGAGCACATCTGCGACGTTTCGTATGTGGAAGAGCCTGGGCTCAAGTCAGGCCACTTGGCTCCTGGTCCCAGCCCTGCCACTCACCAGCGATGTGACCTTTGCAGGTGACTGAACCTTCCTGAGTCCCCATTTCCTCCTCTGTTAATCAGCACTATAGAGTCCTATCTTTGAAGAGTTGGGAGGATTCAGTGAGGCTGTACTCACTAAAAGCCTGGGACAGAGAAGACCCAAGGAGCAGTCACTTTCCTCCGCAGAGCTTGCTGAATGGCTGAGCCTGGGCAGTGCTGTGCCTTCCCCTGGTTGGCCCATCCTCCCTCTATCAGGAAAGGTGGGTGGTGGACGGGCACCAAAAGGACACAGAAGACAGGAGGGGTGCTGGGCTGAAGGCTGGAGCCCAGGAGTTAGCCCTGGCTGAGGGATGGGGGTTGGCTTTTTGGGGAGAAGTAGAAAGGGGTTTCTCTGCAGTGCATTTGATGCAGAGCTTTCAAGCACCTTCTGGAGGCCTCAGGGGAGAATCTGAGCTTTTGCTTGAGGAAACAAGGGGAAGCTCATCAGGAGGGGACCGAGGAGTGGGCAAGTCAGCTGCTGAATGCGTGCAGCACTGAGCATGGGTGAGGCTGCTTGGGAGACCTTTGTGAGGACTGACCAGGACCGCCTGTGCTCTGCTCAGGGCATGTGTGGTAAACACGGGAGACTCAGGCCTTGACCCAGGGAACATGGGACTCAGATGCAAATTCAATAGTCCTCGAATTTCAGTGAACTCGATGTTGCTTAGAGAACTGCCAAAAATACAGCAGACCAAGACTTTCACTTCTGAAAGGTGAAAAGAAGAAGGTGCCCTGGCTTTGGGACCACAGAACCCAAGAAACAAGATGGTGGTGAGTTGCCTGGGTTTTATTTTGCCTCATAAATTCCAGGCTTGGAGCTAAACAAGTCAGCAACCCAGAAACACCAAAGAGCACAGGTGGAAAAAAGAAAAAAGTCCTGATATAGTTTGGATCTGTGTCCGTGCCAAATCTCATGTGGAATTGCAATCTCCAATGTTGGAGGTGGAGCCTGATGGAAAAGGGTGACTGGGTCATGGAGGCCGAATCTATCTCATGAATGCTGTAACACAATCCCCTTGGTGCTGTCTTCACAATAGTGAGTGAATTCTCACGAGATCTGGTTGTTTAAAGGTGTGTGTCACCTCACTCTCTGTTGCTCCCACTCCCACCATGTGAGATGCTGGCTCCCTGTTTGCCTTCCGCCATCATTGGAAGCTTCCTGAGGCCTCCTCAGGAGTGAGCAGATGTCGGTGCCATGCTTCCTACACAGCCTTCGGAACTGTGAGCTGATTAAACCTCTTTTCTTTATAAATTATCCAGCTGCAGGTATTCCTTTAGAGCAACGCAAGAACGCCCTAACATATGCCCCAAAGGAAAAACAAAGGAGAAGCCTAGCAAGACAGAAAATTTTTAGTCAATAACCACTCCACTCTAGTCAAACAACAAAGAAAAAATGGGGCCCCACCCTAAACCCATCATCAATAGCTGAGTGGGAGCCTAGATTTCTACCCAAGCAACTGAGTTGTGTTTTGTAATGCACTCTACCAATCTCTGTCTTTTTAATGGCTGTATTTAGACCTTTCATGTTTAATGTAATAATATTTTGGACTTAATTCTATCATTTTATTTTTGTTCTCTGTTAATACTCTGTTTCTCAGATGTCTGTTTTCTATTACCATCATTCCTGGAATGAAAAAAATGTTCCTGGGTCACTGGAACATTTTTTAGAATTCCATTTTGAT